AACGCTGCAGTGGACAGCGGGCCATGATACCATGGGTCACGAAGGCAGCCGAGGTCCCTGGCAGGGAGCCATGTGGTGAGGGAGAAAACAAGAGCAGCAATCCCAAGCAGGGAATCCCAGGCAGGGAGCCTAGGCAGGGGAGCTGCATGACGTGCCTGTCCACCATGCAGTCCACTCCATGCAGGCCACTCGAGGGCTCCCTGCCTGGGATCCGGCTACCTTCGTGGCCTGCCGTGGTCTCGTGCCCACTGCCGCCGCTCAGGGACCTGTAGCGTTTTACTTTTACCATAACAGTTATTATACCATTTTACCTATGAGAACACAATCAAAATGGGGAGGTAAGGTAGCAAGCCCAGTGCCATCTAGCCAGTGAGTGTAATTGCGGATAATGGATTCCACATATGTTTAGCTTCCTAAGATGATAGCTAATAGTTTTCTAAAGAGATTGTACCAGACAGCACTCTCACAAAGCAGCATATGAATCCCATTGTATGGCATCCTCACCCATATTTTATTTTGCCAAATTTGTGGGTATAAAACATTATTTTGATTTAAATTTGCATTTTCCTGATTTTTTTTATCAGCCATTTAATCTTCCTCTTTTGGAAGCACAAACTGCTCTTGTCTTTTGCCTATACTTCTATTGATTTACTGGTCTCCGTTCTATGTATTTTGTCAGCATTATAAGTTTCAAATATCTTCTTCAAAGTCGTGAATGTCTTAATTCTTTATATGGTGTTACCTGATGAGCAGAAAATCCTAATTTTCATAGAGTTGAATTTAGTGTTTCCAGTGCCTTATTTTTAGACTATCTTCAGAGTCATAAGACTATTTTCCTGGATCCAGGCAGTGCATGCCTTTAGTCCCAGCACTTGGGAATCAGAAACAGGCAGATCTCTGAGAGATCAAGACCAGCCTGGTCTACAGAGTGAGTTCCTGTACAGCCAGATCTCCATAGAGAAACTTGTCTCAGGAAAAAAGGCATGGGGGAGGGGAGGAGAGGAAGGGAGAAGAGAGGAGAAGAGAAAAGAAAAAAGAAAAGAAAGACTAATGTCCTGGGACTGGGGAGATTGCTCAGTGGTTAACATTACCTTTTGCAAAGCCTGAAGGCCTGAGTTCAGTCTATGGGACCCATGAAGTAGAACACCAGTTCTGTCCTCTGACCTCTGTCTGCATGCTGTGGCACACAGAAGCCCACAAACATGCATGCACAATTGATTAAGTACAACATAATACTATTTTTAAAAGAATATTCTAAAAGAATATTTTTAAAAGAATATTCCTATATTCTAAAGTTTTTCCTTTTACTACTTAATACTGCTTCTCTTTCACTCTCCCCTCTCCCTCCTCATGATCGTCCTGTCTCTGCTTCCTGAATGCTGGGATGAACAGGTCTGCTTCTCTACTCCTGGCCCTGCCTTCATCTTTTTATCAGATTTCTGTATAATTGTGAGACTGTTGCATTGTGTTCTTTCCCACAATCTTTTGTTCTTTCAGTATACTGAACTTCCTCAACTGCTGCTCGACAATAAATCTGATTATCCTATCTCTTCTTCAAGAGTGGTTTTGTTGTTATTGTTGTTGTTTGGCCCTTGGCCTTTCATTGTAGATGTTAAACATAGTATCTTTGAAAACTCCTTTTGGAATTTATTAATGTCTTGTTACTTTTCGTGTCAGCTTAGAGGATAGTTGGGATACTAGCATTTCCTTATGCATGAATATGGTATCTTGTTACTTAATTCTGTGTGTGTGTGCCTGCTTCAGAACCACCTTCCCTGAGCTTAAGGTCATCTTGAGTAATCTGCATCTGCATCTCCCTTTCCTGTAGCACAGATGGAGCTAAGAACTCGTGTGATACTTTCTCACATTACTATTGCATTGTTTTATCCCTGAGTGTCTTATTCTGTGATGCTTTGTAAATTACATCTTTTTGGATTTGTTTGTTTGTTTTTCGAGACAGAGTTTCTCTGTAGCTTTGGAGCCTGTCCTGGAACTAGCTCTTGTAGACCAGCTGGCCTTGAACCCACAGAGATCCGCTTGCCTCTGCCTCCTGAGTGCTGGGATTCTTTCCTCATTTTATGTCAGTTTTAGTTTGGGAAGTTGTGCTTCTTATTACAAGTACTTTGGGGTTTGCTTTGTCTTTTTATTTTGTTTGTGTATGGTTTGGTTTTAGATTTTTGAGGCAGGGTTTTTCTTGTGTAGCAGCTCTGACTGTCTTGGTACTCACTTTGTAGACCATGCTGGCCTTGAACTCACAGAGATCTGCCTGCCTGTGCTTCCCAGTGCTGGGATTAAAGGCACGCACCACCACGCTTTAGTTTAGCTTTTAAAATATGAAATTTTAGCTGGGCAGTGGTGGCACATGCCTTTAATCCTAGCACTTAGGAGGCAGAGGCAGGAGGATCTCTGTGAGTTCAAGGCTAGCCTAGTCTACAAGAGCTAGTTCCAGGGCAGGCTCCAGAGCTACAGAGAAATCCTGTCTTGAACCCCCCCCCCCAAAAAAAAAGAAGTAATTATTTCTTTTTCATTTATTTTTCTGTATGGAATCTTTTTATTTTAAATGGGTTGGCCAGTCAGTTTCTGTATAAATCCTGATTTTGGTGCCATGCTTTTCAATTTGCACCCCCCTCCCCGCCGTTTTTGGTTGTTGTTTTTGTTTGAGATGGATTCTTGCTGTGTCTCCCCAACTGGCCTGAAACTCACAGAGATGACTGGCCTCTACTTTCTAAATTCTGAGATCAAAAGCAGCAGGTGGCATGTTTTCAAGGGCCTCCCATACCCTGGGTTTGCTTTTGTTGTTGTCTTCAGACAGGGTCTCTCTCTATTCCTGGGTAGCACAAATTCTAGTTGGCTTTAATAAATAAAACCTGGAGTCAGGTATGGGGGTGAAAACTGAAGGATCAAAGAAGCAGAGCCGCCGCCACTGGAGTTGCTACCTCTACCAATGCTCAGACCAAAGGGCAGATTCTGACCTCAGACTGCATCCTCAGAATGCATCTCCAGACTCCATCTTTCCACCGAACCTCAGACTGCACTGAGTTTCTGTCTCCTTCCACTTGTATTCCTCTCTCCGCCCAATCATATCATTCCTGTCTCCAGCTCCCCTAGTGCTGAGATTAAAGGCATGTGATCCAGTGCTGGGATCACCTTTGAGCTGTTTCTCTTTTAGACACATTTAATCTTTTTTTTTGTTGTTGTTGGTTTTTTTGTTTTGTTTTCAAGACAGGGTTTCTCTGTAACTTTGGTTTTTTTTTTTTTTTTTTTTTTTTTTTTTTTTTTGGTTTTTCGAGACAGGGTTTCTCTGTGGTTTTGGAGCCTGACCTGGAACTAGCTCTTGTAGACCAAGCTGGTCTCGAACTCACAGAGATCCGCCTGCCTCTGCCTCCCAGGTGCCGGGATTAAAGGCGTGCGCCACCACCCCCCAGCCTGACAGATTTAATCTTGTGTAGCCCAGAGTAGCATTGAACTAACAGATCTCTGTACCTCTGTCTCTCAAATACTGGGATTAAAGGTGTGTGCCACTCCTGTCTGGCCTCTAGTGTCTTAGCTCTGCACTCTGATCTTCAGGCAAGCTTCATTTGTTAAAACAGAAACAAAATATCATTGCAGTCCTGAAACTTACTATGTAGACCAGTTTATCCTTGAAGTGACAGACAACCTCTTGCCTCTGCCTCCAAGTGGTGGAATTAAAGGCATGTGTACCTGGTTTGGAAATTTTTTTAAGTCATATTTTTTTCTGGAACTTTTATGGCTTGATTGCTTTTCTCATTTTATTTAACTCATGAATCTGTCCTTGATATAAGGACTAAAACAATTATCTGTCATTGTTTTGTTCATGTAGCCAGTTTTCCAGTATGGTACTGTTTGTTAATTGAGTAGTTTGTCTACCTACGTGGTAAATTCCTATGTATACAGACTCTGTTCCTTGCCATTGATCTCTCTGTTTATTCTTTTCCCATTATTTTTTATCTTGTTTTGTTTTTTGCTTTTTTTTTTTTATCTTTTTTAATAGATATTATGTATACAATATTCTGTCTGTGTGTATGCCTGCAGGCCAGAAGAGGGCACCAGACACCATTACAGATGGCTGTGAGCCACTATGTGGTTGCTGGGAATTGAACTCAGGACCTTTGAAAGAGCATGCAATGCTCTTAACCTCTGAGCCATCTCTCCAGCCCCTGTTTTTTGCTTTTTGAGACAGGGTATCTTTGTAGCTTTGGAGCCTGTCCTGGAACTAGCTCTTGTAGACCAGGCTGGCCTCGAACCCACAGAGATCCGTCTTCCTTTGTGTTCTGAGTGCAAGATTAAAGGTGTGCGCCACCACCGCCTAGCTAGTGCTTTAACTTAATTACTTTGACCCTAGAGTGCATGCTAATATTTGTGGAGTAAAACACTTTTTTATTCTCTTCCCCCTGCCAGAAGATACCTACTTTTATTATTCCTATGAAAATTTAAAATCCTACAGAAAGACAGAAAGGGTTAATGTGCTCCTGTATTGTTTCTCTCCACAATGGAACATTCATTAAGATTTTATTGTATTGGTTTTATCTGCTTTTGTATTATTCTGAAGTATTTTGTAGTTAGCTCTAAAATCCTTCCTTGAGACTCTGAAGACTTTAGCAAGTATCTCTTCTTACCTTGCATGCTAATGTGTGTGTATGTGTGTTCTCTATGTTGCTAAGACTTACATTTGTAAATGTTTCAGATATGCGTAAGTGCCAGGTAGGGGGAAAACTGAAAAACCATATCTCTGCCTCCTGGGTTCCCGTGAAATAGCTCCACATTAGCAGTGGCTATCTATGGGTTTCAACTTGAGATTTCGACATCTACTGAAGTCCACAGAGTGATACACCTTTAACACTTGCCGAACATACAAGTTAAAGCCACCTTGAGTGGCCTTCTCATAGTCTTACTTGTAGTAGAGCAGATTCCCACGGTAAATGTTACCTTCGCACAAGTTCTTATATTTAACAGGACCTTCTTTCTCTGTGTTTTTCTAGGCTGTTCAGCTTGACCCTGAAGAAACTTGTTATGCTTAAAGAAATGGACAAAGATCTTAATTCGGTAGTTATTGCCGTGAAGCTGCAGGTGAGTTGAATGGTGAATTTTCAAGGCCTGGAGAAACTAGACAGTGCTTTTCCCTGTCCCAGCTACAGAAACTCCCTGAGCCACCCCTCTCCTCAGCTAGGTAGAGGAACAGTTGAGGAGCAGAGAGAACATCTGAGCTAATGGGACAAGAGTTCCAGTTCTGCCTCTAAGAGCCTCAGTTTCTTGATATTTGTCTTGAAGAACAAAATGGTCCTTCTCTGCTGCCTGTCTAATCATATCAGTGAAACAGACAGCATCATAAAGGAATAGGGCTGAGCTGGGCGGTGGTGGCACACACCTTTAATCCCAGCACTCAGGAGGCAGAGGCAGGTGGATCTCTGTTAGTTCGAGGCCAGCCTGGTCTACAAGAGCTAGTTCCAGGCCAGTCTCTAAAACTACAGAGAAACCTTGTCTCGAAAAAGCAAAAAAGAAAAGGAAAGAAAGAAAGAAAGAAAGAAAGAGGGCTGTTCCAGTCTTAATCCTCCAATCTCTGGATTAAGGAAGCACTTTCGGAGGCTTCCCATAGGATATAAAAAATGTATAGATTATTAGTCTTAGCAATTTAAAATTTACTGGAGTATTGTATGATCTAGGTAGCTCTCACACTTAATACTTCTACATTAATTCTGTGTCCTTAGGGGATCTAACACATTTCACAAATATCTGGACTCCCAAATATTCTTGAATTCAAAAAACAGAGAAACTAAACTACAAAAGCATTTAAGAATTTACCTGTTGCCACCTAATTATTCAGTGGTAGAGCTGAGATTGGAAAGAGTATGTAATTTATATTTAATTAAACTCCATTCCCAGATCCTCTTTAGCTGATCAATCCTTCCTAATGATGACTCCCTGGAGCTTAGTGAGATTCCTAAATGCCTCTGCAGTGGTTAAATATGACTGAATCCTTCAGCTTGAGAATGGGCTCATTCATTAAAAAAACAGTGAACTATGTAGTGATTCCCTACAAACTAGCATACTTTATTAGCTAGTTTGCCTGCTTTGTGGTATTTATTGTACTAAATGGCCTTCATTAAAACCTTCATTTGGAGACATGGTTCAGTGGTTGTGAGCACTGGTTACTCTTCCAGAGAACCTGGGTTTGAGTCCCACAAAGTGGCTCACAACAGGCTAGAAAATTGGATCTGCAGTTAAGAGCATGTACTAGCTGGATGGTGGTGCGCACGCCTTTAGTCCCAGCACTCAGGCGGCAGAGGCAGGCGGATCTCAGTGAGTTTGAGGCCAGCCTGGTCTACAGAGGTAGTTCCAAGACAGCCAGGACTACACAGAAAAATCCTGGGGGTTGGGGGGTGGGGTCGTGTATGTACTAACTAGGTTTGTTGGACACACCTTTGAACACAGCACTTGAAAGGCAGAGACAGTGAGCTGGAGAGATGGCCCAGAGATTAAGAGCACTGGGTTCAACTCTTCCAGAGGACCAGGGTTCGACTCCCAGCACCCACATGGCAGCTCACAACTGTGTGACTCCAGTTCCACAGGATCCAATGCCCTCACACAGACATATATGAAGGCAAAAACACCAATGTACATAAAATAAATAAATTTAAAAAAAAAAAGAAAGGCAGAGACAGGCTGATCTCTGTGAACTGTGATTCAAGGCTAGCCTGGTCTATAGAGAGAGACCCTTTCTCAAAAAACAAGTATTGATCTTTCAAAGAACCTGAGTTCTGTTCCCAGTGTCCATCCATGTCAGGCAGCTCACATCTACCTGTAACTCCGCATCTAGGGAATCTAACTCCTCTGGCTTCCTTAGGCGTGTGCACATAATACACAGACTCATATATACACCTAGTCTACAGCCATACCACCCTGAACGCGCGCCCGATCTCGTCTGATCTCGGAAGCTAAGCAGGGTTGGGCCTGGTTAGTACTTGGATGGGAGACCGCCTGGGAATACCGGGTGCTGTAGGCTTTAAAAAAAAAAAAATCGCCGGGCAGTGGTGGCGCACGCCTTTAATCCCAGCACTCGGGAGGCAGAGGCAGGCGGATCTCTGTGAGTTCGAGGCCAGCCTGGTCTACAAGAGCTAGTTCCAGGACAGGCTCCAAAGCTACAGAGAAACCCTGTCTCGAAAAAAAAAAAAAAAAATCATATATACACCTAACTAAAATTAATTTTTTTGTTTTTTTTTTATTTATTTTTTTTATTGAAAAAAAAATTTCCGCCTCCTCCCAGCTTCCCATTTCCTTCTCCCTCCCTCCACTCCTCTCCCCCTCCCCTTTCTAAAATTAATTATTTTTTTTATTTTTTATGTTTTTTTAATTGA